AAGTGCCTGACGGCGGCGCTCCTCACCATTCTGCTAATTTTGTCGTAGACATTTAGTTGTTCCAGCTTTATTTATTTAAATATAGAATCTTTGAAAAAAAAAGAGAACTGTGACTGGATGAATGAGGGATAGAGCGATATGGATTAGAAGTGACCGTACAGCTTCATGAGGCATCATGAATCAATAGAGATTGATGATTGAAATGGCTAGTTTGACCCATATAGTGTGATAGGTCTCAAGGAGTTCTTCAAAGGATTATTCAATCATCACAATTCAATCAACCCTATAGATATCGATTAAAAAATCCCTAGGTACTCATTTAATAAATTACATAGCACAACTCAATGAAAGCAATCATTTGAAAAATTGCAAAAAAAAATCACAATAGAATAATAAATTCTATTACTTCATTATCACATCCCAAATTGGTTATGGCACTGCTGTCATCGCTTATTACCGTAGACATAGCGCAATCGTTGCTGCACACTTTTTCGCAAATCGTTTCTCCATCTTGTCGGATAGTTGGTCATAGAGAAGTTGCCCATCTTTTCCACTTCTCTTAGCCATATTTGACCCCAAGCACCGAGCGCAAGGTCACGATAGTGTCTGTTGGATTAATTAGAAGAACTGATCAAAGAAAGAGTTGCAAGTAACAAAAGCTATTAAATTACAATACCTTACTACAGCAATTTCTGGCTCCAGTGCATAAAGAAAATAATCGTTATAGAATTTATCTGGATAATGTACGTTCATTATCAGTACCTAAACCGGGATAAGTGGAGATCCTTTAAAGACCCTTCCATAGCTTTTCAAAGACAGAACTTACCTTTTTTGGATCCATGATGCACTTAGCAGTATGGCCAACACCACCTACATGAGAAGTGTTGTGATATCTTAGTGTTGGCATGTATTCGGCAACCTTAAAGTTTAACCATTGAGTTCTAAGGAACGGATCTCGCTTTAGCTATCTATCAGAGGGATTTAGTACAATTGAATGCGGAGAGTGCGCTATGATTATTCGCTTCGTTCCATAAACTTCACACCACTGGCTGCGATGCAGTTTTATTACCAACGATTATTTTTAAAATTAGATGTTTTTTTATTTGAGAAAAAAAACCAGGGAGCAAAGCACGGGTGTCAGTAGCAGCTTGATAAAAAGAACTGTCCTCATCAATT